TGTGAAACAGAATGCATGAGACATTGTCATGAGCTCTAGGCCCCTACTTGTACTCATGCAGGACATTATTGTGGGATCCAGGCCCTCAGCAGGATTCTATGGTCTTCAGAGTGTGGACAGATTTCCTGCACTCTTTTTGTATATGACTCTTTGGATGACTATTACAATATAATCTTATAAACTAAATGTCCTGTATTGTGTCATTCTCCTTTGTAAACCTCTGACTACAACACTGGTCATTTAAGATATGCAACACAACACCAAGATTCTAAACATCCCAGAAAGAATGGCCATCATCAAGGCATCAACCAAAAGCAAATGGTGACAAGGCTATGGGGAAAAGGAACCCTTATCCACTGTTGGTGGGAGTGTAGACTAGTGCAATGACTGTGGAATCAGTAAAGAGATTCCTCAAAAAACTAGGATTAGAGGTCCCATTTGACCCAGCTATTCTCCTTTTGGATATCTTCCTAAAAGAATTAAAAGCATCATACCACAGCAATATATACAAGTCCATGTTCATAGAAGCACCATTTGTAATAGCTAAATCTTGGGAACAACTCAAATGTCCAGCAACCCAGGAAGGGATATAAAAGATCTGGGTTTTTTATATAATGGAGTATTGCTAGGCCATAAAGAAGGATAAATTTGAGACATTTCTGGTTAAATGGACACACCTTGAGACTACTTTTTTTGGTACCAGGAATTGAACTCACAATTCATGCTTTCCAGGCAGGTGCTGTGCCACTGGGCTATATACTGGGTTTGAGATCATACTCTTAAAGGGAAATAAACTGGACACAAATATGTAAATATCACAATATCTCCCTGATGTGAGAAACTGGAATAGTAAATAAGAACCAAAATGTATGATACATATCGTCAAATAGGAAGAAATTATTTTTTTTGTTTGTTTTTGTTTGTTTGTTTGTTTGTTTTTGGTTTTTTTTTTTAATTTAATTTAATTTTATTTTATTTTTTATTTTTTTTTATTTTTCAACAAATAATACACTGCATATATTCTTCTTAGTGGTTAATTGCTGTACAAGATGCGGACTTGTGATCCTATTTACAAACTCCATTAGAACAAATCATTCTATTCATTAAGAGAATGTAACTATATATCTATCCCAACCACTTTGAATACACAGATACAAAATGGACATTCATCTGTATACCCCATTTTTTCTAAGTTCCGTTATTGAATATTATAGGTGTGTAAACTCAGCAAAATATTCTAAAAGAGTCCAGTAGCCCATAATAACATTGGGTCTTCTGTTTAACTGGCAATGTCAGAAATTATTGACCTGAGTCCCCCACAGCTCAACTTAACAGCATGGCTTTATTTCTTATAATTTCATCTTCATACTTTTCTGCTGGATGGTTAAGACCAAGGTAAAGCAGGACCTATGCAACAAGAGTTGTAGCTTTTTGGTCTGAGAAGGTCAGTGAAATGCCCTCAGGATTTGTCCTGAGATCCTGTACCTCAGATTGTAGAACCTTTATCAGTGCAGCCATGTGGATGAGTCACGGCCAATGCTTGGCCATTGTGCTCTCTGTGAAAGCCTGAGAGAGTATCTTCTCCCCATGTGACTCTCCTTAGGCCCACTCTATGTCATCGATCACTTTCCTCTTTGGCCCCATAATCTTCTTGATCAGAAAATTTGGGACACTACCGAGGTACATGACATTACAGTACAAGTTCTCATATGTCCTGAGTCTTAATTGACCTTAGAAGGCTAGGGCCAAAACGTTGGCTTTCCTTGTAGCCCTCCTTTTTCTCTAATTTTGGTCTGCAAACTTAGGTTGTTAACCATCCAGAAGAAAAGCTTATTGTTATTATCAAATGATTTGGGCTATCAATCTTAACCTCACTATCTCACTGCATTTCAAAAGAAATTATTAAAAAGGAAGGAGGAACTAGGGAGGAGTAGGAGAAAGAAAGGGAAAAGAATAAACAATAAAAGGATAAAATGGAAACAAAGCCTTGTAAATAAGGAGGGGAAGAGGAGTTGAATGGAAAAGAGAGGATTGCGGATAAAAAAAGGAATCAAGATACTTCACAGAGAGCCACAAATTCCCTATGATGTAAATCCATGACCCGATAAATTTAAATTGAAATCTATATTTTTTTGGTGTATTGAAATAAAGGATAAAACTCAACCAAAGTTCAGGGTGTTAATTTACATTCTGAATAATACTTGTTAAATACTGCAGGTTTTCCGTAGAATCTCTTATGGAGCCAAGAAAGAGGAAGACAGTAAGAGCAAGGAAGGAGAAAGGGCAAGGTGAAGAGGAAGGAAGTGAGGGACAGAGGGGAGGTCAGGAAAGAAGAAAAGTTGGGAAGGAGAGGGGGAAGAGAAGGGGGAGGGGAGGGAAGGGAAAGCACTACAAGAAACCAGCATGCCCAGAAGCAGAGCTGAGTATGGTGGAGGTGCCAGGGTGAAGGAAACAGAGGACTCAGAAGAAGGAATGAAACAAGCTGAGGCCTGAGTCACTCCTGTTGTCCTGAAAGTTTGCCAATCCTCTTTTACTTCTTTGTCAGAGTCATTCAAGGAATCAAGAAATAACCTGAGTCTCAGGAGACTGAGTCACTCACAAACCAGAAGTCTAATCAGCAAATGTAGTTAACATCCATTAGGCAGGAAGAACACAGCTCCAAGGTGTGAGGGGGAGACAAGCAAAGCTCTAACCCCAGACCTTCATAAGCAAAATGCAAGGCAGACATAATTACGGTTGGGGTGCAAAGTACACTTTAATATCCCATCGCTGTTTCTCTGCAGACACCCACAGGCCTGGAAAGGACAAAGGGCTAGGGCACTTCCACTGCTGTGCCAGCAAAAGAAAGCTGGTACTTGGTGTCCTAGAGCTCATCTCCCATGGGATCGGCAGGAAAACCTGACCTTGAACCTGGTCTCCGTGAGGACTGTAAACTGATGTGACCGCGGAGCGGACTCCAATGCACACAGGATCACCAGCAGCCCCCTCTCCGTGCCGTGAACCATCAACTACAAGTATTAACATGTTGACAGAACTGCGAAGATAGCTCACTGATGGAAAGGTACACATAAACGCCCCAAGTTTTAAAACAGCACTAATGAAAATAAAACAATAAAAGGGCGTGGACACACACCCCAGAAATCGGTTGGGGTGGCCTGAGACCGTTAACTTAGCACCTGGCCCTTCGCCGGTCTCTGCTATCAAACAGCGGGAACAGGACCCTTGCGGACCGCTGCAGCCGGCCCGAGCCGCGCCCGGTGTGGCCCCCATCACTCGGATCTGCACTGGGCCGGAGCCCGCGCACGCGACAGACTCGGCACGAGGGCGGGCAGGGTAGGGGCGGCAACTTGGGACCACCGTGACAGCCACAGCACGGCGCCTGCGCGGCTCCCAGCCCGCGCGCTCCGCGCCTTTACCTGCCAAGGATCACCACAGCGCCTGCAGCTGACGTCGCCATGGCCGCGAGCGCCAGCAGCCGGGCGCGCGCAAGAGGACTGAGCCGAGCGAGGGAGGGGGCGGGGAAGGGGCGGGGCTCGGAGGGGCGGGGCGCCTGGGTCACTGACTGCGCACGCGCGGGCGGGGCGGTGGCGCGCGCACCGCCGCCTGGGAGCTGTGGTTGGTTTTCCCACTGAGATCCTGACGCCGAATCTGATGGAAAGTGGTAGCGCAGACCCCAGTACTGCGTTTGTGTTTGTCTCTACCGTACGCTTAAAGGCAGTGTACCCGGAGGGCCCCGCGGGATTGGCGCGGGCTCGACCGCTAAGATTCAGAAGTCCCGGAGTTGTGCGCTTGTG